CGCAGGGTTGTCCCAACGTGAAGGGCAGCAGGGCACTGGGTTTGCTGTGCTCCTCTGAGGGACAGACCTGTCAGAGGAGTGCTGCAGCTCAACAGAGCAGACAACACAGCGCTCGCAGGCTCCGTCGTGATGTCGCTGTCATCATGGATGGCCCAAGGATCAATGTGGTCTGAGCTGCCAGGCATTGGACCAAGCTCTCTGCATCGTTGACCAAAGGCACTGAGGGCTGCCACAGGAAGAAACAGAGCAGGGATGAAGCAAGATGCTGAGATCCCAGGCAAACTCCACAGCATGCCAGTGCCACACATCTCTGGCTCAGGCCAAGGAGGACAAACAGATCGGGAAGGCCCCAAATGCATTAGAATCACCAAATCACCTCAATTGGAAACACCTTTGAGATCATTAGCATCACATAACCCACATGTCCTTCCCCCTTTCCACGTTCCACATTCTCTCCTTCACTCCCTCACATCCTGCAAAGGAGGGTCTCCTTTACACACTCCAGGAATCTCCCCAACTCTTTCGTCTCCAGGTATTCTACTTCCAGCAGACAAAGGGAATGTCAACTTTCTCAGTGAAACTTCTCCTAGCTGCTTGTAGGAGATATCACAGAATCACAGAATCACAAGGTTGGAAATGACGTGCAAGATCATCTAGTCCAACCACCCTCACATTCCTATTAGTGCCACAAGTTACTAAACCATATCTCGTAGCTCCTCATCCAGGTGCCTCTTGAGCACTGCCAGGGACGGCGTCTCCACCACCTCCCTGGGCAGCCATTCCACTGCCTGACCACTCTCTGAGAGAAAAAGTTTCTCCTAATATCCAACATAAACCTCCTCTGGTACAACTTCTGGCTGTTTCCTCGGATCCTACTATTTGCCTGGGAGAAGAGGCCAGACCCTTTTGCACCAAAACCTCCCTTCAGGAAGTTGTACAGTGCAGTGAGGTCTGCCCTGAGCCTCCTCTTCTCCACACTGAACAATCCCAGCTCCCTCAGCTGCTCCTCATAAGACTTGTGCTCCAGACCCCTCACCAGTTTCACTGCCCTTCTCTGGACACGTTCCAGGGCCTCAACGTCTTTCTTGTAGTGAGGGGCCCAAAACTGAACACAAGACTCAAGGTGCGGCCAATACCATCTCCCTCTTAATCATGCTTGGGCTCCCACCACAATATCAGCCTTGCTGCTTTTTCCTCTGACTCTGCCTTAGGAGGAAGTTCTTCCCTCAGAGGGCAGGGGACCCTGGCACAGGCAGCTAACAAAACATGTGGGTTCCCCATCTCCGGAGCTGCTCAAGGCCAGGTTGGATGGGGCCCTGGGCAATCTGATCCACCAGGGGCCATCCTGGACACAGCAGGGGCTTGGAACTGGGTGGCCTTTAACATCCATTCCAACATAACCATTCGACCGCCCTGGGATTTCGTGGCTGCACGATCTTTCAGGTCCCTTCCAACCCAATCACTAGGATTTCATGGTTCTGTGATTCATAAGGTTGCTTGAAAGCCAACCTTCCTAGGATTCTATGGTTCTGTATTGTTCCTCAGCCCCAAGAATTCCCTTGGAGGGGAGCAAAGCATGGGGGGGGTCTCTGCCCCTGGCTTCAGTACACACACCACAGCCCTCACTTACCCCTGATGATATCCTGTAGCTTCTCCTGGCTCAGGTCCATTGAGTAGCACGCAGCAAGCCCTAGGCACAGAGCACCCATCAGATCCTGCTCCCAGCAGCAGAACTGCATTGCTCCCCAGCAGTGAGATTAGCCGAGGAGGGCCTGAGCAAGGCACCGGAGCACTGGGACCCACTCATGGGGCTCCTAGTGCCAGAGGGCAGTGGCTGGCACTGCCAAACACTGCCAAGAGAGGGACAAAGGGGCTGTGGCACACCAATGAACCTCACAGCCTCCTCTCGCAAGGCTGCCTGAGGGTCCTACAGGAAGGGCTGGCTCTGCTGCAGGTATTCCTCTGCCATGCTCTGGTCCCACTGCAGCTGGAGAGAGCACAAAAACATGGGGACTGCAAATGCTCCCCAGCTCCCTGCACTGTCCCTGTTGGTCTGGAGCTTTGGGGTTCTCCTTACCAAGCACTCCGCAATCCTCCACGTCTCCTGTTTTCCAGCCAGCTCCCGGAGGTCATTTCAGTGCAGGAGATTGGCTGTTTGTACAATGGCTCTCCCGGCAGCCTGCAGGGAAGCAGAAGCTGGGAGATGGCACCATGGCCCAAGGAAGGAGACCTAGCATTGCAATCCTCTTGGCAGGGCCAGGAGCCTTTTCCGACTAGGTTGCCCAGAGAAGCTGTAGGTACCCCATCCCTGGAGGTGCTCCAGGCCAGGATGGATGGGGCCATGGGCAACCTGATCGGGTAGGAGACAACTAGCCCATGGTAAAAGCTGGGCTTTAGCTGCTCCTCCCATTGCTGCCCAAGAAGCCCAATGCTGCTTGTTGACAACGCCCCACTCACCTTCTCCCATGTCTCAGAGAGTATGACAAGACCTCCGAGCACCACCCTGTGCATCTCCGCGCTTGGATGCTTCAGAAAAGTCTTGATGTGGCATAGGTCACCAAAAGAGCCTTCATTATCTTTGCTCTTTGCCATTAGGTGAAACAAAGACATCAGCAAGAGCCTGCAGGGGCACGCGCAGCCCTGAAGGGCAGCAAAGTGTTATCCATTAACTCACTGCCAAGAAGAGGATGCACGTGTCTTCTGTGACTCCTTCTACCAGCCTGCTCAGCTGTGAACCCTTGGTCACCTCCTTCAAAACCTTCTCCAAGGTCTGTGGCATGCAGAGCATCAGCTCCCACACGTCCAGGGTGTTGCTACAAACCCAAATTGTAGGCAGAGCTGCCTTAGCCAAAGCTAGAACCCTTCAAGCCCATACCCTTCAAGCCCACATTGCTTGGTGAGCCCTGCATGAGCAGGAGGGCACCTGGAAGAAGCCCTCCAGGCTGTTGAGGACAGTACCTGTCGCTTGGTGGAGAGGACTTCACCAGGTTCCTGACTTCTTCCATGCGCATCTGGCTGGTCAGAAGGAGGAGCAGGGAGTCCAGGCAGTGCCGTGCTGCCTTTGTGGCAATGCTCCTCAAATTCTTGCGGATGGAGGTTGTGATCTGGGTTTTCTAAAGGGGACACAGGTGAGGACAGACCACAACCATTTCCACAGGTGCTGCTGAAACCACTGCACTTCCCACCGCTAAGAATGGCTTCAGGAGCCCAAGAGACCTCGGCTGGGAAGGAAAGAACAGCACCTGAAAGGACTCAAGGATGGGGCAGTGGACAAAACGTGGTTACATCTGGTATCCAGAAGGCGTAGTCTTCCATGGCCACAGCTATCACACTGCAGGCCGCCTCCCTGTCATAGATGCTGGAGTCAACCATCACTTCAAGAGCTGTGAGGACGACGTCCATCCTCTCAGTAGGCCTGAGGTATCCTCCAAACACCTGTGGGTGGAAGCAGGGGAGAGAAGATGTGTCACACTGACCATTCCAGTGGTGCTTCCTGGTCCAGCAGGGAGATCAGCTCTGCAGAGAGATGCTGGGCAGCAGTCTGTAGGAAAGCTGGAAGCATCAGCTTCTGTCACTGCGTGGTGCAGGATAGCAAGAGAGGGCTCTGGGAGAAGGACTGTGGGTGGGGGCATGGGCAGTTGGTAAGAAGGGTTTGCTGACAGCCAGGAGGGCTGGATCTGCTGCCATAACACTCCCCTTGCTCACAAACATTTCCTGCTGATGCTGTGAGCAAGATCCTCAGCAAGGCAGGACATCGCCTTGGCACAATCACTGGGACTGGACAAGTTACCACATACAAAATTTGTATCCTGCAGCACCTCATGGAGATGCACATACTTTTCCATCACTTCTGTCAGGGCTGTCTCTAGAAGGGAGGAAACACAGAAGAGTCAGAAGGAAAGTCAGCTTTGTCATCAAACTCAGCAACTGGGGAAAAGCTGCTTTAAACTGAAAATGGCACCTTATGGTGTAGGAGACCCGTGGCGTAGGAGACCTAGGTTGATGGGACCCACGGTTGATGGGCTGAAGAGAGTGAAAGAAAGGAGTGAAAGAATACAGCTAAAGGCAGTGGGTGCTGGGAACAAGAGGGAGCTTAGGAAATATGAAGCTGCTCTGAAGAGTAAAGGAGCTCAGGAAACTCACAGACTCCATGGTCAGGCTTCACGAAGCACAAGAAGCATAAGAACAAGAGACATGAGCAGACAGAGGAGCAGAGAGATGCTGCCTGACCAATCTTCTCCTACCTCTTTTGTGTTTGACAAATGCACAGAGATGATAAAGCGCATCTATAGCTGGAACTCTGGTGATATCAAGGCCACAACTGAAAAGGCAGAGGTGACCCAGCAGCTCTCCCAGGATTGGGAAGTAGATCTTGATGACTGACTCATATATAAACTCGCAATTTCCAGTGTGTTGCCAATCCTGGGTGACAGAAAAAGAGAGGAAGGCAGAGTAGAGTGGACACAGAGCAGGGCCTGGAGAGGGAAGAGTGGGGATGAAGACGGGGCAAAGACCCTTGTTCAGGACAGAGCCCTGCTGAGAGCTCCCAGCTGCAGGCACCCCTGAGCTGCTCTGGGATGTGGAGAATGGGAGACAGCCTGGCTGATGGGTGCCTGGCTCCTTACTTTTTCCATAAAATCCACGATCATCCATAGAATCCCATGCAGGGCTCTTGTACGAACGTGTATGTGCTGGGAGTGGAAGAAGTGGGGCAGAGCCTGCAAAGAGAGAATCTGCTGGTACTTGTCCTGGGAGCTTCTGCTGCTCCAGCAGGAGCTCTAGGATCTTCTCCACAGGGAAGGAAGAACAAAGCAGCAGGGGCGGGATCCTTTGCAGACTGTCACGTACAAGGAGGGTCTGTGCCACTGCAGTAGGGACACTCGCATCCCTCGGGCTGTGGAACCCTCCTAGTGACCCACTCTTTGTAGCTGCCAGACCTGAAAGATACTGCACAGCTCCTCCCTCATTCTGGAGTTGAGTTCTGCACCAAGGCTCACAGCATGACGTTCATGGCAATAGTGGTCAGCAAGAGGATAGAGAGTTGTAGAAGGGCACCTGCGGCACCTCACAGGGCACTTCATCCTAACCCTATCCCCAAAGAAGAGATGAGGGTGGAAAAGCAAAGCTGGTTTGCTACCCTGCCCGAGTCTCCTATGGTCACAGCACAAGGAGCCAGGGAGCAGCCCAAAAGGACCTGGGGCTCTGCTGGCTTACCCAGCACACACCTCAGCATAGAGATCTTCCTCCTCTTTTAGTATGCCCAGTTCCAGAGGCAAAAAGACGACACTGTTCAAGCAGGAATTCAGGATGCTCTCTGTTTTGCCTTCCACTGCTGTCTTCACAGTGCTGGAAGGGGGTAGAGGAGCCTGTTGGACACTGTGCCTCACACTGGCCAGTGCCACATTGAGTTAAGTATGACTGCTATCCCCAGTGCTTCCCACCAATTACTCACGTGGACTTACGAACTCCACCTTGCTCTTCTCCTCCTCACACCTGCCAACCCAACCTTGGCCTCCTGGCGGGGGGCCTCACCTCTGTCTCATTGGACTGAGAATCAAAGTTGGCAAAAGGGGAAAGAAGAGAGGAAGATTTGCTGGCTACTCTGGGCACGCTAGAGAGACATGGCGAGAAGTGGGCTGTGCTCAGGAATGCCTTGAAGGTCCCTGTGTTCCAAACATGTCCTGTCGCTGGCCCTCCTGGCAACAGTTCTGGCTTTCCCTTTCAAATGTGCAGAAAGATAAGCCTCCCTTCACCAGGAAGAATTGATTTATGATACAAAAGCCAAGATAAGAGCAATACTATATAATAATAGTAATACTATAATAAATACAATCCCCTTCGGAGCTGCCAGCTCTCAGCACCCAGAAAGGCTCCTGACACACGTGTCCCAGGGGGGCTGTTCTCTCCAGGGACGGCAAGCGCACAGCACGATTTCCCGAGGCAGACACACCAGCTTCATGTTCTACCCTGGTCCCCGGTCCCTGGGGGAGCTGAGTGCTGATCCCTATTGATGGCAGAAGCTCTTCTCCTTTCAGGCATCTCTCCAGGCGTCTTGCGCCAGAGCCCATCTTTACGGTTGTGGGAGCACGGGGAGACCAAGGTGCCCCGGGCTCCTGCAGACTCCTCTTGTGTCTGTTTGCAGCGTGCTCCCACCGTGTGCAGGCAGCTTCCGCAGGACAAAGACAGGAGAACAGAAGGAGGCGTCTACTGCACAGACCAGCACTGCACTCCCTGCCACCGAGGAATCTAAGAGAGTGCTGCAGGTACTGGCTCTGCCTTGCTGCAGGGACTGTGCTGCTTGAGATTGCACCAATGACAGAATGGTAGAATCATAGAAAAGTTTGGCTTGGAAAGGACCGTTCTGATCACCTGGTTCCAATCCCCTGCTGCAGGCAGAGACACCTGTCTCTAGACCAGGTTGCTCTAAGCCCAACCCAGCCTGGCCTTGAGTGCTTCCACAGGGAGGGAAGCAAAAGCCTCTGTGTGTGCAGTGATCTGGAGCACAGCCCTTCGGGTGCCATCATTTCACATTTCTGTCCGCTCCTTCAGCTCCTCTTCGGTAGATGGGGGGTGCTGCACACCTTCCCTGTCTCTTCTCACCTCCTGGCCTGCCACCTGCCACAGCACACACAGGGGCTGTGAGAGAGGAATACGGCCTCTGTTTGCCACGAGTTGTGGATCACTGGCTTTGGGGCTCCTGGTCCTTCAGGGGCAAAGCAGTGCTGACAGGCCGGCAGAGGAGAGGAGCGGGAGCAGGGAGCTGAAGGAAGGCCCCAGGGACTGAGGCTGATCCTGTATGCTGCTGTGTCTCTGCAGGAGCTCCGGGAAGTGTCTGCACTGTGGAAAGAAGCAGACCACACATGGCCTGTGCACCAGCAGCAAATAGAGCAAACACAGGCAGAAATGGCAGCATGGGAAGGCTGGAGCGTAGGGAAGGACCAGCGTCCGCCCCAGGTACCGTCAGGGATCGACCCTGCTGGCAACAGGCTCAGCAGGGCGCAGGGGGTGGGAGCGGGACAGGCGCCGCGCAGCATGGCAGGGGCTGGCCCGCTCCTCCCCGGGAGGAGAGCTTGGCACGGCCCCGCAGGGAGAAGGGAAGGGCGGTGGGAGCCGTGGGCCGGAGGGCTGAGTCTCCTGCTTGCCGGGGCCTGCTGCAGGGCCCTTGGCAGAGGGCCTCGGGGGAACAGCCCCGTGCTCCCAGCCGCTTTGCTGACAGCGTCTCCTCTTTGGCAGCTGTTGGCCAGGGAGAGCGTGCGTGTTCCGCATCCTCCAGCCCAGCCCAGGAGACAGCAAGTGGGAAGGAGATGGAGGAAGGACGTGGATCCTGTGCCAGGAAGTAAAATGGGGACGGCGACCAAGCTGGCACTGCATGCTGAGTGAGTGTGTGCGGGCTCTGCCAGCTGCCCGAGGCTCTTGGGCAGCTGTGACTCTGCAGCTCGGGGACAGGCACGGCCCGGGACAAAAACTGCTGGTGGGGTGCACGGCTGGGGACACACAGGGGGCAGCACGGGGTGCGGGGCCGGGTGAGGGCAGAGGCAGGGGCGGCTCGGTGGATCCCGAGGGATGACTTTCTCCTCCTGTTGCAGCCTCCTTTCCCACCGAGCGGCTCAGGTGCTCCAGAAGTTGGAGCTGCACCTCCATCAGCAAGAGGCTTTTGCCAGCACTGTGGAAAGAAACCGGCAGAAGCTGGAGCTGAAGCGGCAGCTTCCCAGGTGAGCTCCATAGGCAGCAGATCCCGAGAGCCGGGCTGGAGCCCAGCCTTGCCTTGCCTTGCCTGCGCTCAGCCCGTAACGCTCCGCGCTCTGCTCTTCTCACCTCCCTAGGGCTCGATGCTCGCACCGCTCCAGAGAGGAAGGTGCAGCCAACCGTGGTGACCGCGGTGGAGCTGTCGGCAAGGGGGCTGGGAAGCCGTCCAGATTTCCACCTGTGAATGGAAGATCATAGAATCAAAGACTGGTGGGATGGCCTGGGTTGAAAAGGACCTTGAAGATCGTCTGGTTTCAACCCCCCTGCTGTGTGTGGGGTCACCGACCAGCAGACTGGGCTGCCCAGAACCACATCCAGCCTGGCCTTGAATGCCTCCAAGGGCATCCACCACCTCTCGGCCAGCTGTTCCAGCACGTCACCACCCTCCTTGTGAAGAACTCCTGCTAACATCGAACCAGATTATCCCCCCTTTCACAGTTAAAACCACTCCCCCTTATCCTACCACTATCCAGCCTCGTCAACGGCTGTTTCCCCTCCAGTTTATATCCTCCTTTCAAGAATTGGAAGGCCACAATGAGGTCTGCCCGGAGCCTTCTCCTCACCAAGCTAAACAAGCCTGGTTCTCTCCACCTTTCTTCACACGAGAGGTGCTCCAGCCCTCTGATCATCTTAGTGGCCCTCCTCTTGATCCAAGAGCTCTGCGCCTTTCTTTTACCGGGGGTTCCAGCTCTGTATGCAGTACTTCCAATAAAAATTAATTGGCTTTATTTCCACTCAGTCTGCTGGTCAGTTTGCAGATTCAGAGAGCCACACCTGAAGAGTTAAATAAAAAAATAACCCAGTTAAATGAAAAAATAAACCCACTAAATTAGCCCATTAAATAATTAACCCATTAAATAAAAAAAATAACCCAACACAGCCACATAATTTAAACTGACCTTGAAAGCTATCAGTGTCTAACTACTGTTATTTTAGAGTGGTGGATCTCATTAGCAGCCACTAATTTACTCGGCCAGCCGTTATAAACCTGAATTTTTCGTAATTGCACGTGGGCTGATCCAAAAGTAATGCCTCCTATTTTATAAAGCTGGCCCACAACATCACAGGTGGACGCTGGTGGGATGACAGCAGAGGCTGAACCTTCCTGCCAGCATTCAGTTACATTTTGCAGCCATGCCACAGACGGCAGCAGAGGGCCAGAATGACAGCACAGCACCTGGCTCGGAAGCGCTCATGGAGCACAGGATGTCCCTGAACTCCTCCACACTGAAAAAATCGCACCACTGACATCCATCAATGCCTGCAGAACATTTATGAAGCCCGACACGTGGAGGTGAGCGCAGTGAAGCAGTGGTGGTGCATTTCAGCAGTGGCAACAGCAATGCAAAAGACAAGCCACTCAAACAGCCCTAGTTGATTTTTTTTTTTTTGCTTTTTAAACAAGCACAGCATGTAGGCTTTCGTTCAACGCTGGAAAAAAAGCAGAGCTAATGGTGGTGACCATGTTGAGAAACAGCTTTGTAGCTGAGAACTCGCCCTATGTATCCGTTGTCATGTCTATGGAAATAAATAGGAGGCATTCCTTTCAGAGCAATCTACGCACCTCAATGAGCCATCATCCTAATAATGCAGTAATACTAATAACAGGAACAGAAAAACACAGACTCTCAGAATATCTTTTGTGGGGATGGAAGTTATTCCCTGGGAAGGAAGTGATGCCATCAGAAAGGTCACGACCACTTCCGACACTCAAACCATAGCAGCACGTCAGAGCACGCAGCCTTGGAATAAACCCCAAGGATAAACCAAACTGCGTCTCTGTTCCAGCCATTTTTTCTTCAGTATACACGCATAGACTGGGAGGCACTAACCCCACAGATTCATTGTACCACTGTGTCATATGGTAAGAAGAAAAGCAGGATGTTTGAGACTTTGTCAGGCACAGCACCTGCAGCACTGGGGGCGAGCAGTTCTGAGTTCTCAGTATCTGGTCGTAATTTGCGTGCATGCACAAGAAGCAGTGCAACTCACTTCACCAAATGTAATTCAATGCAACCAAACGTATTGAAGGTGTACTTACAAGACTCTGAGGTAGAAAGCTGCTCGCTGAGGGGAAGGCTGGAAACGAGGCAGGGGAGGCCTGACGGATTGAGCGATTGTCTGGAAAAGGAAAGGAACAGAAGAACTGTTCAGATGACATGACAGCCATTTTTTTGAACGCTGTTACATATGCAGTAACGAGCAAAGAATGAAAATCAAGGCATTTGCCTTCGCCATCACCATATGTGCCACCTCTCTGCAGAGCTGCGGCACAGGCAGCACAAGACTGCTGGCACAGTAATTGCCAAGCCGCGTTTTCAGAAGCCAGCATGACAAAGTACTTCCCTTTTGCCATGCACAAAGAAATGCTGGCTTACACAGACGAGAGTCTCAAGTGGGATAAGAACACAGAGGCACTTCACTCTATTTTCTCAAACCAAAAGGAATCAAATGTCTACTTAAGGATAAAACAAAGCAAAACAACAAACACCCATGGAAAGCACACTAACCTTTGCAGGCCCTTCAGATCAAAGTGCTCCAATAGCAGTAGCTATAGAAGCCGTTATGCTCTACAGTTCCTCTGGTAGCTTTGTGGTTGGAGGTGGTGATCTTTCCGTGGGCTTTGGAGTGTTTGTTTTTAAGCACCAGTAAGAAACATCACCAGTCTTTTATCTGCACATCAATAAAGCAGAGAATACAGCTCTGAGCAGCCATCTGCCAGGACTTGTTTTAAGAAGCAGTCAAGGGAGTTGACAAGGCCCCATTTTCCAGGTCTTCTGACTTGGTCCTCAATGCAATCTGTTGCCAGGACCTTGAACTTCACAGCCGCAGCATGCAAATACAGTTTAATAACGGAGTCTTACAGAAAACAGTGGCTGGCCTGAAATCGTGCATCTGTACACAGATGAGCCAAAAGGGCTCAAGCCAGGGCTTAAGATTTATCACATCATATAAATGCACAATACATGCACTACAGGAGAGATCCTGAATTCTCCTATAAATACGCTCATTTAAAAAAAAAAAGTTAAACTCAGTAGCTTCCTCAAATTAAAATTCTGCCCAAGTCCAATGAAAGACAACGGTAACACAGAGAACTCAGGCTCAGAGAAAATGAGTCCAGCAGAAAGATAAGCCTCCCTTCACCAGGAAGAATTGATTTATGATACAAAAGCCAAGATAAGAGCAATACTGCATTTACAGATTTGGACCTGTTCTACAATAATTTCTGCATGCAGATCGGGCTGCTGGAATGCTAAACCAACGGGGCTGGTGTTATCACAAAGGGCTTGTAAAAGGAAGAAAAGAGGAGTAGCACCAACCTCCAAATAAGCATACGAGACCCAGGAAGTCACGTGGCAAGCCTGTTAAACCTTTAAATGTGCAGGAGACAAGACAGCCAACTCAAATTTCCTTTGACAAGCATGCGGATGCTTTCTGCTGAGCTCTGTTTCAGTTATTTCAGACCACGCACTTCTCTTTATTTATCCAAAACGGAGTCACATCAAAGCTATAAGCTTTGAAATGATTGTGCTTAAGATAGTGGTGCCTTCTCTTTCTTTAATAAGGCTTTTCTTAGATTAGTAATTGTTTCACTGGAAACAAAGTCTGTTTCCTAGTCTGTTTTAAGATCATCTCTATGACTTCTCAGCAACTTTCTTCCAGATCACAGTTTGGCAAGAAAATGTACAGAAGACAGTAAACATATCAAAAGACTGCAGCACATTTCAGACTGGATTCTCAGAAAGAAGTCGTACAGATAGCCCAGATAACAAAATCCTTACACCTATTCTTCATAACTGAACACAAACAACCTGAGAGAGACCTTAGCAAACGTACAGACAGATTAACTTGATGATGTTAAAACACAGAGCTCTTACTTTGTGCAAAAGGCAGATCCGAACATGTAACAAAAACCTGGAGCTGTGTGCCAGTAATGTAAGGGCATCGCATCCGTCGGAACGTCACTGGAGAATCTGAAGGAATTCCAGATCTCTGACTTATAAAATCAGCTGTTTGCCAGCCAGTCAGAAGATGAATTTGTGCAGTTCAACTGCAGCTTCCTATGTAGCATACACTTACTTACCAGCTTCAGATAACAACAAACCCCAAACACCCCAGGAGTGTGCTGCACCCTGTGCTCCTCTTAGTGCTTCGTGCCTGCAGCTACCACAACAGGTCAGGAAGCCAAGCAGGCACAGGATGAAGGCCTCCGCTCTGGAGAAAAGCAGACAAGCAAAGCACGTGTGATAACAAGGGAACTTCAGCAGCACATTTCACTTTTCAGAAGGAAAACAGACACACCTTGATCCATTTGCAATCAAATGCCCTTTCGTTCCATATCTGTAAAGCAAAAGGTAAAAAGCCATGTTGAGAAGTGAGGATGTGCCGACATGTCAAATCGCATACACAGAAACAAATCTTCCACAGCCATTACTGAACTCCACAGCTTTGGTTGGCCAAAGGAAATCGCTCCGATTGGTTCTGGCAGCCCTCCAGGGAAAAAGTCTGTATGAAAATTCAAGGCAGGTGCTTATTTCTCTCAGCCTTCGGCCCGCAGCCTGCAGCCTCACTGAAAAGAACAGTCGTGCTGGGAGAGCTCTCTACAACCCTTAGCCTTGTTACACATTATATGCTATGAGCAATAGCATATAACAGGCTCTTCAGCTTGGGAGATGATGCCTTTTTCCACGGTTTCTCATCAAGCCGTGGCCATACAGAATGTCAGTAACAACAGAAACAAGATATTACTGAAATACTTCACATGCAGAACTTATATTCTACTGTAAAAGCACAGCAGGGCAAAAACTCGTGTCGGACACACACCTCCCAGCCCACCCCCTCCAAGGTCCATTTCTCAAGCTTCAGTGCCGTACCAGAGAGCAAGAGTGACACTGACTGAAACAGCCAGCAGCAGGAAGGGGAATGCTCCAGAAGAGACGTACCTTCCCACACTGCAACACAAAGGGCAGACTTTCTCAGTGGGATGGGAACCACAGCTTGAGAAGCTTCACTGAGGACAGTGAAAATTCAGAAGTGCAGCCTCATGATAAATCATTTATATTCACCCCAGTGAGCAGGTCTAAGCATTAAGGCCATTGGACTCAAGAAGATTATTGGCAAGTCCCTGCCTAGGATGTTATGCTACTGCAGAAAGGCAAAAACAGGCTGAGAGAAGCACCAAAGCAAGCATACCGAGTCCTAGAGCTTCCCTGCCTTGTCTGGTGCCACATGAAAACATCGGTCCCTTACAGTAATTAAGGGTCAGACGTGTTTGTTAGAACAAAGAGCATATAAACCCTAAGGCTTGGATTTACCAGTCAGTTCAATTCGGAGGCTCCTCTCTTCAGCTTCTCTCATCAGCCACCGCTCACAGCCTCAGAAGTCGCTCTCACCATTTCCATAGGCACATGGCAGGTCGCGGGGCCATCTGGGAAGGAAACAGACATTAAAAAGACATTATAAAGTTCTCTTTGCTCACTTTGCATTGCTCACTATATTAGCTCAGCATAAATGTTTGAGGATTTGTCCCTTTTTTGGGGGGGGGGAGGGGGAGGGGTGGAAGGGGGAGAAGCACTTTGTTTTTTGCTTTATTAAAAAGGAACTATGCTTTCTTTTTTGCATCAGAACGCAATCAGCTATCGGGCGTTTTCTATTCCTAGATGCGATAATGCAAAAACCTGTATTTATGATCACCTTTGTCTCAGCAACCACTGGGAAATTCACAGCGTTAGGATCATAAGGGAAAGAAAATCACCGTTGAAAGCACAATTAGCACATAATGTCCACGTGGTGACGTATGGGGTGAGAGCGAGCGAGGGGGGCAAAAAGTGGCACAAATTGAAAAGCAGTTCCTTCTTCACAGACTTTGCTCACAGTGATCATAGTCCAGTGAAATGCAGCAGCTCATCAAACTAAAGTAACACAACTCCTTCTGGTCTTCGCACTCCACTCTCTCTGTAAAGAACTTCCCCCTGACTGCCAACCTCAATCAGCCCTCCCTCAACTCAAAGCCATTTCCCCTTGTCCTGCTGTTATCTACCCTTTCAGAGTTGACTCCCCTCTTGTTTGTAGGCTCCCTTTAGGTCCTGAAAGGCTGCAATGAGCTCACACCGCAGCCGCCTTTTCTCCAGGCTGAACAAGCCCAGCACCCTCAGCCTGTCTTCATAGGGGAGCTGCTCCAGCCCCCTGATCATCTTTGTGGCTCTCCTCCAGACCCTCTCCAGCAGCTCTTTCTTGTGCTGGGGCCTCCAGACCTGGAGGCAGTGCAGCAGATGGGGACTCACAAGAGCAGAGCGGAGCAGAGGGGGACAATCACTTCCCTGTCCCTGCTGCCACCCCTCTGCTGATGGAGCCCAGGATCCCATTTGCTTTCCCAGCTGTAAGAGCACACTGCTGGCTCACGTTAAGCTTTTCTTCCATCAAGACCCCCAGGTCCTTCTTGCCGGGCTGTTCCCAAGGACTGCTCCTGCCAGGCTGTTCCCTCCTCTAAATCGTGGCCCCGTGCACCACATCCAGACGGTTTTTAAACACATCCAGGGATGGTGACTCAACCACCACCCTGGGCAGCCCATTCCAGTGCTTAACAACCCTTTCTGTATAGAAGTTTGTCCAACCTCAACTTACCCCACGCAGGACGCTCCCCTCCCTCCCATCGCCCCTCAGCTCCTGCATCCTGCTGTTATCTGCCTAAGGATACGAAGACCCTGCAGAGCGGTCCGCACAGGCTGATCGACGGCCGACGCCAACGGCACGAGGCTCAACACCGCCACTCGCCGGTCCCGCACTTCGCTCACAACAACCCCAGGCATCGCTGCAGGCTGGGGGCAGAGCGGCAGGAACGCCGCGCGGAGCAAAACGAGCCGGAGGCGCGGGCCCCGGAAGCGGAGCGGGCAGCCGGGCCGGGGCCAGCCAAGACGCGCGGTGATGACGCAACGACGGAAAGCACCCCGCGCGGAGCGCCCGCCTCGTCCCGCGGACCGACCAATGGCAGCGCGGCGAAGGCGGGGCCGAGCGTCGGGCTCTCCGCCGATGGCGGCCGCGGGGCTCCGTGCGGAGAAAGCGGCGCTCCGCCGCCCCGCGTCTCCGCCGCCGCCGCCCGCCCCGTGCCTCGGGGCCCCGTCCGTAAGAACCGAGCCGTCCTCTGGAGTCGTCGTTGTGGCGGGGCGCCACCGAGCTGTGAGAACCGGCCGCTGACCGCGAGCGGCGGGATTCGCCCGGTGTCCGAGAGCGGCTTCTGGCTGAGCCGGGCAGCCCCGAAAGTGAGGGAGCGACCCCGCCGATCGAGACGCGATCGAGCCCGGCACGCAGTCAGGCGGGCGCCTTCGGTTCTCGCTCGGCTCGAATGGTCGTCAGCGCTGTGCTGAGCTGCTGCCCCGCAGGTGGAGGACCCGGCTGCCATTTTCCCGCGAAAAGAGCCGGCGGCGCTGGCGCTGACCAATGAGAGGGAGGCTGGGGGCGGGTGGGCGCGGGTGGTGACCAATGAGAGGGGAGCCGGGGGGCGGGTGGGCGCGGGTGGTGACCAATGAGAGGGAGGCCGGGCCGAGCCGTCGCTCCGGGGCGATGGCAGCCAGCACAGCTTGCCTGCCGCCTTTCCCCGCGGCTGAAGCGGCCGCTTCTGAAGGCGGGGCGCCCGCGTACGCTGCGGCAGCCCAAAGTGGAGTCGGAGGTGGCCGCGGGCCGGCAGGCCGCAGCGCGGCCGAGCGAGGCTCCGAGCTGGCGGGCCTCTGCCCGGAGGGACCGCATGCAGCACGGCAGGCGTCGGCTGGTTAGCGTGCGAGGGCGGGACAGCTCGCAGGCTGCGGGTCCGGGGCGGGCAGAGCAAGTCCCAGTGCCGGTGACATCAGCCGGGCTGCTGGAACCTGCGTGCTGTCGCACTGTGTTTCCATGCCAACGGCGATCCCCCCCCCCCCCGGAGTAGCCGGGGGCAGCTTTGCTGCCGTGTTTGTTACCCGATGAAGCCCGTTGCGGGGGGGCTGGGCACGGGAACCTGCACAGCCCCCAGCCACCGGCTGACCGTCAGCTCCAACCCCCCCCCGGAGGACGTGTATCGGGGCACAGAAATTCGGCCAGGGAAAGGAGAGAGAAATCAGGCTGAGGACAAGAACTGCCGAACAGAACGCCGCTCGGAGGAAGCTCGCTCTCCCCTCCCCGCCCCCAGCTCTCCCCCCTCGCACCTCCCACAGCTCTACCCTGCACTGAGAGGCTTCAGAGATACTAGCAGCTGGCACTGTGAGCTACTTTGGTAGAAGTGTAAAAGTTTGTGTCCAAAAACAAGCACAGGCTGAAAGCAGGCCGAGAGCAAGGCACAGCCAGATTCAGTTCTCTGTGTCCACCTGCACGCTGGGTTGCAGCTGCTGCAGTTGTGTGTACCCTTTATCTGTTGCTGGATGCTGAGAGCAAACCCAGACCTCATAAAAAGAAAACTGTCACTACCATTACGATACTGTGCATGCAGATGAAGCTTGATTCAAGTATGGCATTGAAGTCTTCTGACTGACCTGTCCCCACTAGTTAGGAGTTGCGTTTGCTTGCTTAAATACAGTAAGCTGTTCTCACTTATGGTATGTCCTTTGCCATAAATATCCCTCTGACAAAATGGTTGTTTTGACATCATCCTCCAGTGGCTAGGATGACCAAGCCTTGGAAAAATACAGCACCTCCCTCAGAGCTGTGATGGCCGTGCTACTGCTTGCTGATCCTCCCTCTGATCTGTGCTTTTCCTTTACAGGACGCAGTTCTTAATTGTGGCCCAAGTCCCTGTGGAACGTTTGCTCACCTGCACTGCATTTTGCTTTGCATAGTTTAGAGGAAATTAACCAGCAAGACTTCAGGGCTGAGCTTTAAGAATGGAAACATACTCAGCTGCTTGAAAGAGACCAACTTTCTAAGGTCTGTGTCAGCCTGGGAAATCCACCCTCTGTGGCCAAATGCAAATTGCAGCACAATCCCAGGAGCCCCCAGGAATGGAAATCATAGCCCTGGCAGGTCAGGATGCAAAGCCAGCTTTCAGAAAACTGTTTTTCAGCAGCAGAGAGTTCATGCTGAATTCTGTGCTTGGTTGATCTGAACAGATTTTTATACTATGATGACCAAACCACGCTGTCTACCAAATGATGTCCAAATCTTCTTTCTCACCCTTTGCTTCCCTTTCCTGCATGTGAAGAAGCAGCCCGCTGATCATCAGGGGCTCAGCTTGCCATCAGGGAGCATCAGTGGTCATCTGAAAGCTTCGTTGGCTGTCAGAGGTCTCCACTGATCATCAGAGATCTTCACTGAGGTCAGAGGGCTTTGCTAATCAACAGAGGGTGTCATCAGAGAGGAGATTTGAGGTGCCTGAGGGAGGGGATCTGGGGACTCCATGTTGGGTAATGATGGAGGGGAACTGGGACTGAAGGAAGAGGGCTAAAGCAGATGCCAGTGAGGGGCAACTGTCTGAGAAAGGGAGGGGGTAAAAGGAGAGTGACGTGGGGACATCGTGGCCATGGAGAAGGTGGACCAAAGGCTGAAGGGTTTGGGAGGAACTGGAAGGAGGAATTGGGAGAGAGCAGAGGGAGGGTACTGGGGCTGCTTGGCGGCATGGGGAGCTCTGTCCTTTATGATTTTGGAGCAGAGGGGAGGGAGAGGCCCATGGGTGCAGGATGTGGGGTGCGGGGCACGGAGCTGGGGACCCTCCCAGCACTTAGGGGTGGCCTCTGCCAGGCAGGGACAGACACAAGTGGTCCCTGCTGAGCATGGGGAATGAGGACACAAACACACAGAGCGTGGCTTTGCTGAGGGCTTTATTGGTCATTGGCAGATGTCAGAGATCATCAGGGTCCTTCATTGGTCTTCAGAGGACTCCACTGGTCAGCAGAGAATGTCAAAAGCTGTCACAGAGCAAGGAAAAGCTTTGTCCCTGCAGGGTTTGTGCCTCAAGACTTTGGGCAGGAGGAGGGCTAGCAGCAGCCCAGGGCAGGACATTGGTCGCTGGGGGCAGCAGCCACAGCCCGTCCCATCTGCACAGTGGCCCTGGGCCATCCCTAGGACACCTCAAGACCCTCCTCCTCTGCACAGCTGTCCAAAGCATGAGGGAGGGTCTGGGGGTGGCAATGGTCCCCCCCTGGAACGAAGCAGGGATGGTGCCCTCCATCCCATCCATCCACAGGCCCAGACACTTAGGGCTCCAGAGAGCCCCGGGGTCCCTCAGTGTCCCTGTTCCAGTGCTACCCTTATTGCAACAGACTTCTTCCTTAAGTCCACTCTGAAGACTCTTTCCCTTTCTTTCTTGCAGGCCCCCTCAAGATACCAAAGGCCCCAGTCTCTTCTCCAGGCTGCCAAATTCAATGCACATCAAGAAATGCTTCATAAAAACAAGACAGTGGAACTATAAAGACTAGAATGTCTTTAACCTCAACAAAATAATTTCAGAAGTCAGATAGACTCTGTTATAGAAGCTTGTTACGTGAGAGCAAATCTGACTGCGGGAAAACCAAAACCCTTTTGTGCTGGTGACTTTGGTAAGTAACGTGCAGAAAACACAACAAACATAATGTGTCCTGATTAAAAAACAAACAAACAAAAAAAAACAGAAAAGGACAGGTGCCTGTATGAGATGTCGGTGGCTGCAGAGGATCTTCCAGAAGAAGGCAGCAGAACCTTATGCTCACACTGCATTACAGGAGCAGAAAACTACCGGGAAGCTCTAGGCTCATCCTGGGAAGGCAAAACTGCACAGAGATGCCCCAGCTGTGTTTGGCAGCGCCCTCCCACACTCAGATTTCCTACACGCAGCCCCCCCACCACCAGCGCCCGCAGCCCCCCCACCACCTGCTTCCCATTTTCCCTTCCCCTTTTCCCCCAGTGTCCAGCACTCATAATAAACTGGACTGTCTGACATCTACTATTTGTGTATGAATCTCACCATCAGGTGTACATAGACTAGAACCTCCTCTCGCTCTCATCATGCGAGCGTTCTGATGCCATCTCCTTGAAGAGGGGTGATAAGGATTCTCCCAAGACTCCTTGTCTCTGACAGACAGGGTCAGGCCACATTCCTCTAAGATCCTTATTTTCCAATGCTGTGCTCTCTTCCAATGACACACAGGGCAGAGCAAAGCCCACGATTTTGCAGCATGTGAAAGGTGTAGCTAAGTGTGAGGCCATAGAGAGACTTTTTCCTTTCAACTCACCCTCCTTTAGATCCCTAGTGGAAATAGAAGAATATTAAAATACTATAATTATGAAATAAACAAGAGAGTTTGACAAAGCAGACTATGATAACAAAGAGAACAAATAGAAGGCTTACCCCTATCCAGAGCTCACTCACAAAACTCCACCAGGACCAATCTCCAGAAGAGCTCCTTCCCCACTGGCAGCCAGCTCTGAAATAGGTCTAGGAGGGGTGGAGCCAGGCAGCACAGCTGAATTGCCTTCACTGTGCTCCTCTGGCTGACTCATGGCTCGCCTCAGGTGATCAATCAGAGGTTCAGGCCGTGACTTAGCAGTTCCCATACACACACCTAAACATTTCCTGAACGCCTCCAGGGAATCTGACTGGAGTCCCTCCCTGGGCAGTCTGTCCAGGGCCCAACCGCTCTTTTGGAGGTGTTTTTCCTAATGTCCAGCCTGAAAGAACTCTTGTTGCTCTCAAGGTTCTTTTATTTCTTCACAAAGCTGTTTCAAAATCTTCATCTGGGAGGGAGTACGTGAACCTAATGAGATTCAGCAAGGTCAAGTGTAGGATGTTGCACCTGGGTCAGGGCAACCCCAGATATCTGTGCAGGCTGGGAGAAGAACTCATTGAGGGCATCCCTGCTGAGAAGGACTTCAGCATCCTGGCGGATGAAAAACTTCACCTGAGCCAGCAGTGAGAGCTGGGCTTGCTCAGTCT